CTCTGCCAGGGGCTCAGTAACGTTCCTTCATGGCCCTGTGACGTCACCGACTTCACTCAAGTCTTTGTTTTGCCCTTTGTTTTGTCTGAATGTTGCCATGTGCCCTGATGTGTCCTTTCCTCTTTTTTTATTTTTTAACCTGTTAGAAACTGTGGAGTACTCACTATTTAATCCATAAAAGGATTATTTTAGTTTATTAGTAATATCAGAAACTGTGCACTATTTAGATGAATATTATACATACCAGAAAATGACTTAGACTTACAATTAGAATTACTATGAACTTAGAATCCAGAACAGGAACAGTCACCACTTAGTTACTTTTATACTGCTTCTTGTTAGAAACTGTGGCTGCTATCTTTTAATCCAGAAAAGGATTCAGAACAAACTTATAACTTGGCTCATTTCTTTTTAGGAACTGTGGAGTATTCACTACCCAGACCAATACAACATTTCTTAGATTCATCCTTAGATTACTATCATTATTTAGAGACTGTGAAGTACTCACTTCTAACCCAGAAAAGGAATTAGATAAGTCACTCTTTAGCTTATTTTTTCAGAAATTGGAGAGTACCCACTATCTAGATGCAGAGACCAGAAGCCCAGAGGACACTTTTGGATCTAGACTTCTTTTCAGACTCCTGTTCTTCCAACCCAGAAATGGAATTAGACCAGAGCATACTTAGCAACCCTGAACAGGAGCACTTAGTTTACATACTTTACATTAGATTATTTTTCTTCTTTTGCTCTTCCCTCTGGTTTGTTATTTTTGTTTGTATTTCCTTTTATTTCCTGTAAAGCACTTTGTATTGCCTTGTTGCAGAAAATGTGCTATACTTTACCTTATACTGAAACTAAATTGCCATTCAGATTTTGTTCACATCTGTTACTTCCATTTTGTTTTAAATTTGCTGTTTAGGTGCCCACTAAAAACATCGAAGGTCAGCTGACTCCATACTACTCAGTGGAAATGGGATACGGGACTCCGTGTACGTTGAAGCAGAACCTGCCACGCTCCACCTCCGTGTTGTACGTCTGCCATCCAGAAGCCAAACATGAGATTCTCTCCATCGCCGAGGTTACCACCTGTGAATATGAGGTCGTGGTGTTGACACCTCTGCTGTGCGCACACCCAAAATACAGGTAGGACTCTAAAGAAGTATTTTAGAAGAACTTCATGTTGTGTTTCTCTGGAATGAAATCGTTTCCTAACTCGATGCATGTTCCTTAGATTCAAATCCTCCCCAGTGAATGCCATCTTCTGCCAGGCTCTAGAGGGCTCCCCCCTGCAGCCCCAGAGGCTCACACAGTTAGATAAAGAGCAAGAGGAGCTGCTTAAACCACCTTTCAGCACCAATGCGGACATCAGAGAGGTGAGCGAATCAACGAGAAGTAAAATAAAAACAACGCCCCCTGTTTACAGAGTTTAATCAAGTTTTGTCTTTGTCACAGGAGGGAGTGTCACCGGTTAGAGAGGAAGCTTTCACCTCCACTCACAAACCCATGACTGTTGGGGGGCAGGTTCAGGTCACGGTGGGAACGACACACATCTCTCGTTTGACAGACGACCAGCTGATCAAGGAGTTTCTCAGTGGCTTGTATTGTCTGCAAGGGGTGAGACGTGTTTTCATTTAACACGTAAAGATCATTTCTCAAACTACTCTGTAACTTATGAACTACTCTGTAACTTATGATCATCTTTGTGTGTGTTTCAGGGTGTGGGCTGGTGGAAATATGAATTCTGTTATGGAAAACATGTCCATCAGTACCATGAGGTAAGGATGACTTGAATCAAAACTGAAGGCTCAAAGTTAGCTATCTTCAGGATCAATGACATGTTTAAAAAAGAAGTTACAGGAAGGACAGGGATGCTTATTAGAATCAAATGATATTATACAGCATTTGAGACATATTTATGATTCATTCAATCACAGAGTTAGTGTAAGTATAATCAGATAACAGGAAGGCTGAATATGTTACAGCAAAGTTGTTTTATTCTTTTAATTTATCAGCTGAATTTAGACTAAGAAGGCACCAATCAGTCAGCCAGGGTGGCTATGGGGATGAAGAACAATATCCTTCATCCATCCATTTTCTTACATCCTTACATCCCTAGTGGGATCAGGATGGGTGCTGGTGCCTACCGCCAGCGAGACATTTCAGGCGAGAGGAGGAGTACGCCGGCTTATTGTCCTTGAAGGACAAAAAAATTACATTTTTCAAAATCACAAAACAGGAAATCAATCTTAGCTTGATCAATGCATTTGTATTTCAAAGGTTTCAACAGTCAGTTTGTCAACCTTTTTTTTTTTTTTTTTTTTCCAAGAAATTTGAAGGTTCTTCTCCTCTCAAGTCAGTTTTCTTTGTCAGATGTATTGTAAATCTGTGTTTCAGGACAAAGAACAAGGGAAGAACATCGTTGTGGTGGGGAATTGGAATGCAGAGGAGCACGTTGAGTGGGCGAAGAAGAACGTTGCCCGATCCTACCAGCTCAAAGAAGATGGGGCACAGAAAGTCAAGTAGGCAATTTTGATTTCCTCTAAGAACCAGAATTCAAATTACTGTGATTTGAGTGTAAACCTTTTTTCCCCCCCCCCCCCCCCCCACTTTTCTTTGCACCATCATAGGGTAGTTTCCCACTTTTATGGACACGGGGATTTATGTGATCTAACAGGAAAGCCCAGGCAGGTCGTCGTAAAGCTCAAGTGAGTCAGTAATCTATAGGAGGAACGAGAGTAACATCCCTTTGAATCAACATAAGTCACCTAATATGTTAATATTTGAATTAATTCATAATTTGTCTCTGACAGATGTAAAGAATCTGAGTCTCCCCATGCTGTCACAGTCTACATGATGGAGCCTCAGACTTGTCAATATGTGCTTGGGGTAGGTTCGGTTGCTATATTGAGAACATAATTGGTAACGTGTTTTATATAAGTGACAGTAACTTGTGGGTCTTAACAAAACACAAGGTGAGTAAGTAGATTGGCTTGTATTTCGATGACGAGTGATGTAGCATGTTTGTACTCTCCTGGTTGTTATGTGGGTCATTATGATCCCCATCAATAGGATTATCCTTAACCCTCTGGTTTGCCGGAATTGTCTTTTTTTTCCCCTTCAGAAGTTTCAAGGCTGAGCAGAATGACTGAAATATCTAAAAGGCATCTGTGAAATGATGGAGATTTAGTGCAATACTTCCCAAAGTTCTGGTCATAAAACCACAAGGGTGGGGTGTAAAGATCCTTTATAGTACTAAACTGATAAAAAGGAAAACAGTAAAATATATTTAAACTGCAAATGTAGAATGCATTGTTACTAGTGGGTAGCACTTCTAAAACAGAAAATTTAAATACCTTGATTTGACTTAAGATTTCCAAAAAGCTGTTAATCTGTCTGTTAATATTAAGCAATTTTCTTTCAGCACAATTAATGGTGGCTAAGTAATGCATTTGCTAGGTTAGTGACGGTTGCACAGTACTTTGTGTAACTTTTGAATTCACTGTATGATGTTCCCGAACAATTGATATATATTACTAAATGGTAAACAAACTAGAAAAGAGAGGCTGGAGTGTCTGGACTTGGAAAAAAAATTCCAGCTAACCTTTTATTCAGAGCTTGCAATAAAAACCAATGTTTTTGATCTTACAGTTTATGGATATCGCATTTTTGGTCGCTAAAAATGGTTGGGAATATCCTATAAATGGGAGTACAAGTTTTAATATGCTAAGTTTGCTAAGCTACATCATCACTCAGATTGACATCTAATTTTTTTTAATTATCCTCTGCTTAGGTCGAGTCCCCCGTCATATGCAGAATTCTCGACACAGCTGATGAGCACGGACTTCTGTCCATCCCCGGTTAAGCTGAAAATATCTGGCGACGGTGTTGAGGCATGGAGAACGACAGGACTTTTGTTAAACAGGGGCCTGTTTGGTGAAAGAAGAAACTTTGGATGTTGTACTAAAGGCCAAAACTGTGGTTGAACCTGATTGTAAAGCTGGACTCCATGTTGCCCAGGAGCCCCGGCCCAGCACAGACGTGGCCCCCGCGATGTGACTTAAACTGACTTTTAATGAGTGAGAAGGGGCTCATGCTTCACCAAAGGGCAGTGGATTTAATGCCTGAACTCCATTTCTATGCTTCTCTTCAGAGTTGATTAATTGAAAACAAGATTTGATGAGCCAGGGGATTTTTTTTTTTTAAATCATTCAGGGGAATCAACTCAGCTCATGGTGGTTTTATTTTCTCTACTGTGCATTTCAGAGTGTGTTTGAGTGAGATTTTAAACTGAATGGTTACTTGTGCTTGCAGATTAAAAAAAAAATGGAAGTTTGGGATCCTTTTGCAGCTGGAAGAGTGAGTGTGTTGCCAATTTACAGAATGAGTGTAAATTATGCATGAGAGTGTGATGTGCATAAGCAGCAAAAGTTTGAATGAAACATTTGAAGAATGTGCAGAATGTATATTGGTTCAAAGATATTCTGTGGTTTTATAAAAAATGCACACTGGGGAATCTTATTGCTGCTGTATGAAAGGGCATAAACCTATGCATTTGATGCAGAAAATAAAATGACATGGGAGTTCATTGGTTGAGTTTAATTACTTCACGGGGATATCACCTTATCAAACAGTTTACTCATTAATGATAATACATCAAAGTTGTGTAGCTCATTTTTAGGATCCTCAATCACGCTTTATAAAGGAAGGAAACACATGCCAGATCAGAACACACATCAGGTTTAATTTATGGAAAATTTGGTTCTCATGGCAAATAACAGACCACTAGAGGGTGCTGGTATTCTGTGAATTGTAATATTTACTTATGAAACTACTTTATTGTGATCTTTGGGGGCACATCAGAAAGGATTTTTTTAAACATTGCTGTCTAGTGGTTAACTATATTAACAGTGTAACTTGTCATTACTGTCTTACAAAAGTATCGAGAAATCCACAGAATTAAGTAAAGGGCCATCTTTTCAAAACCTGGTTAGAATCATGAGTGACATATTTAAATAAAAAGGGTATTTTAAAAATAAAATCATGCCACAGATCCAAAGCACTTGCTGACCATTTATTGGGTTAAAAAGTCTGAGGTTCACACATACATTTTCTTAAGAAGCGAAAAGTTCATCAAGGTGCAAAAACATGCCACTGACAGTTGTGTGGGCTTGTGCAGGGTATTTTGGTAGCCTGGCATTGCAGCAGTCCAACTCGCTGCTGTGCTTGGCAATAATTGAAATAAAACCTTTAGATTTGTGGGTTAACGGCACATGCGTGCACAACATTTCCGTGAAACTGCGTCTATGAGAGCAAAACAAAAAAAAAGGATCAACACTTCCTAATAAAGTGTTTTCTTCTTTACTGTGTCAGGGGCAAAGCTTATAATTTTGACAAGCTGCAGAGGAGAATAAAGTTACTGATTCCAATGCATTAAAAGAGCCATGTTGTCTTTAGATTCCCATTGGACTTAAAGCCATAGTGAAACTGCCCAAAAAAGTTCTGTGGTCAAACTGAAGGAATGGGAATCTGGTGTGCTGAGGTGCTGTCGAAGTCTTGCAGTGCATCTTGGTGAGTGTGGTAGTGCATGGCTACATAAGACTTGACAAAAGCAAATGTCTGAGAGCTGACAGGATGCAGGCTGGTAGGGGAACTGGGTCCTGCAGAGGGACTGCTGTTGTAAATGCTGTAGTACGGCTCAATACGGGTATTCATTGGAGTAGAAGTGCTTGGGAGACGAGGTTTCCGCACCCCTGTGGCCCTTGGGCTACTATCGCAATCTCTAGAGCGACTGGGCCCACAAGCCTGGTCCACTAGCCTCCTGGGTGGCTTTGGCGAAAGCACATAAGCTGAGTTGGTTTCATGATGGGAAGATTTATTGCGATTGACTTCCAGGCTGCCCTTCCCCATTGCATGGAGGCGAGTCTTTTGCTTGCAACAGAGAATACCCAGTGCGGCCCACTGAATGCAGCAGAGCACGCGGCGGCGAAGGCCTGCACTATTGCGCGAGTACACAAATGGGTTGATGCCCGACTTGAGGAAAATGAGCACAAAACCACACAGTTCAAACTGGTAATGTGTAAAGTTGCTTTTTGGCGACAAAACGTCCTGCGCCAGTGAAACTCCCATCGGCAGGCAGCAAAGCAGGACAGAGAACACAATAACCACGCAGGTGACAACTGCCTTTGAGTCTTTGGCTGTGGCTAAGTTGACAGAAGAAACTATCTGACAGCAGGTGGCTCCTTGGGCTGCTCCTGGGACTATAGGTTGGCTGATCCGGTTTGCATATGCATGTGTCTGTACATTTTGCAGTTTGTTGTAAGTCTGGTTGCGATACAAAGGAGGGCCTTGAACAGCACACTGCATGTTCTCAAAGCCCGCTGCAATGAGAGGTGCAGGCTGAGGTGGACATGTGGCATCTACACTGATAATCGGACATTTCCTTACTTGTGCATTTTTTCTTAGTGTCTTAGCAATCATGAGATAGGACACAGACACCACAGCGACGCAAAATGCAAAGTCTGCCAGGTAAACGTACAGCACAACCCTGGCTTGTCCACTTCCTAGTCCAAAGTGTGGCAAGCAAGGCCCATCTCTGCGAGGGTACGCTCGCATGGTCAAGAGAGCAGCCATGGTGAAGCTGGATGTCCACAGGAGAGCGGTGAGGGCTAGTGTGCAGAGGAACGAGGCGGTGCGGTTAGGATGCTGCCCCAAAACCATGCGAAGTCTGTGCAGGGCAATCACTGCCACCGTCTCCAGGGACATGATGATGAACCCCGAGCTGGTCAGGTGGAAGGCGAAGCAGAAGCTCTTTGACACACCATCAGCTCCGCCGGCGTCCAGAAATAGCACCAGTGCAAACATGGGAGCCGTCACGCAGCAAATGAACAGGTCACAGAAGGACAGGTTGAGGATCATAAAGTCAAAGTTGGTGCGGAACTTGCGAAAGGCCGGTTCGAAAAAAGACAGGAACACCACAAGGTTGCCATATGAGCCCATAAAAAAGATGAAGATGAGGAGCAGGGAGCAAAAGGTCAAGGTGGCAGTGTGGATCATGGCCCAACCTGAAGGTGTCTGTATACCTCCGGAGCCATTGAAGCTCTGTTGTCTTGGCACATCCACCAGGTCTGATGGTGAAAGTGTGTTGTTCATTGTATTGTTGGACGCTTACATGGATTCCACTGTCATCAGATTCAGCAATATTCCTCTACATCGAAGGAGAACATGATGATCTCAGTATCTGAGTCCTTCATTATTCCTTAAAAAAAAAAAAAAAAGATACAAAGGAACAAATAGTTATTGCTATATGTTGCTGCCTTACAACCCATTTTAGAATTATAAAGCCTTCATAAAGGCTTACTGGTCTGTTTGTTCCACAGATTATAATGCATGACTGGTTTTGAGCAATTATGAGCTATTTAAGAACCCCACACCCTCCACAGTCTGCAGTAATCCAAATAATACATGCACATCACCGTTTTCCTAACGGATGCCAATTATACCCCGTTTAATCGCTTAAAAATATCTGCAAAGAGAATAACCTGTAATCGATCGCGGGTCCGTCATCCTCATCTGATTACAGCTTTTCTTCCCTTTAAAGCAGTAAGTGTGGCATCGTTGCTTAGAAGAAAGAATAAAAAAAAAAAAAATGTCCTCAGCAGCACCAGCAGCAGCAACTCATGCACAGTACAGCAGCGTGCTGGCAAAGACACGTTTCCTGAAGCAAATGCAGAAATCTAAGTAAAAAGAACAAGAGCGTTTATGGTCGGCGGCAGACTCGTTTTTCTCAGCGAGAGGTGCATCAATCCATTCTCTCACAGGCACGACAGCCGCTGGACGTGCGTTGAAAAATGAGTATGAAGTCACCGTCTACGTGTCTGGGCATGAGCATAACCACTGCATCCAAGAGGTCCGTCTTAAAAACGAACTACTCCTTACTCAAAATCCAAAAAGGTCAGAGCAACCAGTGAGGGCATATTATTAAAAAGGAAAAAACGCACGTAGTCCCTGTTATGGATATGTAAGAAAAATGATCGCCCACACCAACCTATCTATTTTGAAGACAAGAATATTTATTTCTACTCTTGACGCAAAATGCTTCATAGTGCCAGATATATTTGGCTTTCATACATTTAATAATCTGCTCTTACGATGATTGGAAGGCATCGCGTGCATTGCTATAAATTACAGCATCATCATAAAGTTAATTTATGTCTCTGCTACTATATTAGGCAAGCTAAATAATATTGTGTTACTGAAATAGTGATGAGTTTAACTGCTAATAAAAATAGGGCATAAATTATATAAAGAAAGCAGCCGTTAACAGTGCTAAGTGCAGAAATATTAACAGAAAGTTGAGTAGAAGGAAAAAATGGAGGCACATCAAGGTTACAAATGTAGCTACAATTGCAGCCTTGATTTTTTTTTTAATTAGACTTTAAGTAAAACAGAAATTTCAACAAATTTGCAAAAGTACTATGGTCTAATGTTGTTGCAAAATTTAAATATTGTCCATCCTCACCAATAACTTACAATTTCCAAGTTGTAAGTTGGAAATATTAACAAATAGACCCCCAGAGGCCAGAAACGTCAGAGGTCTGTTACAACCATAAAATATACTGCTCAAAAAAAATAAAGGGAACATTTTACTTTAATTTTGTGTGTGGCTCCAAATCCAGGCCTCCATTGGTTAATAAATTTGATTTCCATTGATGATTGTTGTGTGTGTTTGTTGTCAGCACATTCAACTTTGTACAGAACAAAGTATTCAATGAGAATATTTCATTCATTCAGATCTAGGATGTGTTATTTGAGTGTTCCCTTTATTTTTTTGAGCAGTGTATAATAAATGGCTTTAATTAAATGTGATAGTCTTGGCGAAAAATTGGTTATTGGTACTATAAAACCTGTTGATGAACATGTTAGGAGTTTGAAAGTAGAAAATACTAAGGAAAAATATTAGCATTTAACAGTAGGTAACCTGGTCATTTGGCAAATCTCACTGGATTTTTAAATGAGAAACTAGGAGTCGATCTGAATTGTAAACGGCAATCGTACGAATTAATAGTACTTATTCCTGGCTATTGGTCTTCTCTTTGAGTTTTCCAGTGAGGCAAAGATAAATGTGCTTGAACACCTCATCTGTCTTAAGTGTTGGTGGCTCTATATCACAGTTCATCTAAGATTCACCTTGCAAATAACAGTAATCATTTTGTAACTTAGTAATAGTTCATGCATCACAGTTTGAGAACTACAGCTGTAGACTAACCACTCTTACTTTGCATTACCAGTTTATTGTGAATAGAAATAAGTACTTCTAAAATCAAGAAGAAGAAAGAAAGGATTTGATCCAAGTTTGGCTTGTTGTAGGACATCAAGAAAATTTCACAAGTGCGCTTTTTGTTACAAACGGTTTATTATTATCCCAGAAAGTCTAAAAAAAAGAAAAATCACTGCAGTTTTGGCACTACCCTATTTGTGAGGTACTAAATGTTTTGATGTTTTAACTGGTTTCAAGTCAGAGGAAAAAAAAAAAAAAGTAAAGAAAAAAGAAAAACTGACACTAACCAAAGTAACTTGACGTTATTTCAAATTTTCAGAAAATGTCAAATATATCTGAGGGAAGGGGTCCTTTCATGGACAGGCAAATTTGGCTTTTTTTTCTCTTGCACTGAGACTCATGACACAGTGATCACACAATGGTTGGGTCCTCACAGCAAACGCATCACACAGAACAGCAGCGGGCAGATTGCTCTCTCCCTTGAAATGAAAATAGGCGAACAGATCAGTTGTCTACATACTTTTAAATGAAAACTATGGAGAAAAAAGAAATTAAAACTCAGCATTTCAAAAAAAAAAAAAAAAACAATAACAAAGTTTGTGCATATTTTCTATAACATGATATATACACATACATGATGCATATACTCATATATAGATTAAACAATCACACAAACAATGTGTGTTGGAAATTCAAGAGACCACCGTTCATAGTTCAATCTCTGCGGCTTGTTGCAAACACATCACGACCGAAACATAGTAAAGACGACGTCCTGCACTGGACATTGTGTTGGCTCAGAGTGGATACTTGTGATATAATCCTGAGAAATGTTGTGTCTTACAAGCAGATGTCATCAAGCATCCTGTGAACACACGCGCACACATGCCTGTGTACATGCAGGATACACAAGCCAGAAAGGAAAAAAAAAAAAAAAAATCTGTACAGTAATGTTACAAACTGCAGGTCATTCCTCCCTGTCACGATTGATCCTTAAATATTAAGTATAGAAGAAATGTCAAGGTGCTAGATACATAAATACACAATATTTTTCATCCTTCTGAGAGCTCCGATGCAGTTTCCATATGTTGTCGCTTTTCTTCTTCCGGGCTCCACGTGAATGTTTGTGAATCCTTCAGGAACGAGGGACTCCTCTCCAGTGCAGGCTGGTGTTTGTGTAGTCTGGGGATCGCACTAAACAGACACACAAACAACTGTAAGAAAAGCTTAAGTAGCTGTCTGACTACTGTACTGATAATCTAAAGCTGTTATATTTTGCTCTATGCAGTAATGAAAAGCTTTTTAATTTCCTTGCAAGCACATTGAGCGATTCATATTTAAACAAATCTTCAAAATTAAAGTGCTTCACCATGTTTCAGGCATAGTAACAGGGGGAGACCAGCAGGTCGGTGAGGACCAACAACTGATCGTCTGTGAACTGCTGCTTGTGTTGCTGCCAGTTGTCATGATGAGTCCGTCTGAAGTTTGACAGAGTTTTCTTCACAGTCATCTGAGAAATACAAAAAAAAAAAAAAAAGACAAAAAAAACAATAGTTCTGGTTATTTTTCTTGATGGTCAAGGGGGTGACCATCAAGAAAAAAAAGAAAAAAAAGAGACATACTTCAATGGGTTGGGTGTCATTAAGGTGGGCACTCAGGTCCATCAACAGCTGGGGCATCCAGGTGGGAACATCATAAGGACTGGAGAGAATACAAGCGCTTAAACCGAGAACGCCCGCATGGCGGCGCACAAGGTCTGCAAAGATACACCGAAATGGATCGCACAGTAAGTCTCAGGAATCTCAAGGGAAAAAAACAAAATCCAACCAACTATTCTGGTGAATTCTGTACCAGCAGAGGGGATGGTGTCCACAACAAAGCCAAGCTCCCTTTTCCTCTTCTTGGGCAAACGTGTCTTGCAGAGAGCCTCAAAATGCGCCTGCATGGGGGCGTCCATGGACAGGAAGTTGCACTGAAGGAAGCCACTCAGAGTGGTGGCAGCCATTTCTCGCACCTAGAATAGGGAGGAAGGATCATGAAGTTTTTATATATTGCTTTGCTGAAAAGGAGAAGCAAATACAACGTTCATATCTTGTGACCAAAGACAAAGAATACCTTTGTTTCCTAGCATTCACTAATAATATGTAACATTTGTGCCATACAGACGGTTGGCAATATATAATGGGGGGAAAAAAGGTTATTTCAGCAATTACATTCAAAAAGTAAAACCTGTATACAGATTAAATGTTACATTTCATGCATTTACTTCTGTTAATTTTGATGATCATGGGTTAAAGCAAATGGAAATCCAAAATTCTGTTTCTATGGATATTTGAATATTATGCAATGAATATGAACGTTAACACATAAATGTTATGATCTCCTCATCCACGAGGAAGATCGCTGACATTAAAGTCCAGCTGACAGTCATTGTGAAAGAAGCTCAATAGTCAGATTGCTGTATCCAAACATAATGAGAAACCAAGTGGAAGGAGAAAACGTGTGATGGAAAAAGATGCACATCCACAAAGGAAAAGCATTGGTTTTAATGGACTGTAAAGTAAAGCCCATTCAGGAGTTTGAGGGACATATTTAAAAGGACAGCCGACATACACAGACTTAACCATTACATTGTCTTTTTCCATGTCGTTTGCTTGCATTGATCTACTATGTTTTGTCAACTCCAAAGAAAAATTACAGAAAAATGTAGAGAAATTTCTGCTTCCCTCTACCAAGAAGCTGCTTCATTAAGTAATATTGTCATTTTCCCAAAAAATAAATTTGGAGTTTTCATTAAATGCGAGCTATAATCATCATCATTATTGAATAATTGAATTGAGTAAAGAATCTACAAGAGTTTCAAAGTTTGAATGAAATTACTAAAATAACACCTTTCAATGACGCTCTAATTTCTTAAGAGGCTGCAGAAAAACAAACTGAAGATTCCTCTAATGTTATTTTCAAAATAATACAATAACTTAAATACTGTCAAACAAATGAAATTCTACTTCTTTAAATGGCCCTGTTGAAAACCACTGCTACTTAAAACACAAATAAAGTAAAAAAGGTTTCTGCCGAGTCAGAATTTCCTGGTACACGGTAGGAAAAAAAAAAAAAAAAAAAAAAAAAAAAAAGAAAAAGAAAGAACAGCAAACAGTTTGATGAGGTACGGTTTGTGCCCAGTGGCTAGAAGCGGCCACCAGTTTGGCAACTGGAGCACGCCAGTGAGTGAAGGTACTCCTCTGACATTTAAGCAAAGTGAACCGTTGTACATTGTGCAGTAAAAATTCTCAAAGAAACTCAGAAATAAAAGACCAACGTGTTCTTAACGGTGTTGTTCTGAGGTGACGTTTTTAGGTCATTTATTGTCAAAAGCATCATAAATAGCTCAGGTCCATAAGTGAGGCTCAGGTTCGCTTATAAGGTCAAATAGAACGGTTAGTTTCACCCCCTGCCCACTCACACGCAGACACACACTTTCTTTGTCTCCGTTCCTTTTCCTCTCCCTCTTGTCCTCCATCAAATTGTGAACAACATCTCCATAGCAACAGATTACTGCAGCCACTGGTTTCCATAGAAACAGAAAGACGGCGGGGGTGGGGGGAGTAAAGAGCCGGGAGCAGAATGCTGAATCACCACAGTAAAGCTGAAAGACACGGCAAGTGTCTGCTAGCATAAACAAACATGCACCGGCCAAAAGCTTTGTGACTGTTCTTGTAATCGCAATGTATGTTTGGTGACGGGATGAATGATTTTTATCTTTGTAATCGATAATAGTTTTTTATTTTTTTTTTACCTCAAGCTGCTCATCCTCCAGGAGTTTGATCACCAGGCCCCGCACGTCTTTCACTGCTTTCTGATCACTCATGAATGTGAACAGGTTGTAAAAAACCATGATCTGGAGGTAAGTGAGCACCGTGTAGCGGGCGTGCCAAGAGCTGCTACCAGCAATCTGGAACACAAGAACAGACTACGTTAATAAGATAATTCAAGCCTTTGTTTCACAAGAGGAACAATGGATGTACTGGACTGCTGCCCAGTTAAGATCAGGTACTTTGCAGTCGAGGAACTAAAAGATGCACTTTGTCGCCTGCCTGTATTACACTATTAATTTCTGCAAGA